CTAAGTAGATAAATGCTGTGAAAAACACACATATTTAATGTATCATTTCCAAGCTCTACCAGTGAGATCACAAAAGTAAGGTTAATTTCTTTTTCTTTTCTGGTTTTCTGGTTGCTGATTTCCTTTTTCCATTTGTTCTGAACACTGGAACATATAATTAATTTAGCATGTTTATTTCTTCACTAGGAGATAGGTAATTCATTAATCTGTCACTGCAAACATGCCCCAGAGGAGTGTTATTTCTTTCTGAAGTTTATTTTTTGCCAGGGAGGAGCAACAGAAGATTTCCTTTTCTGTTTACTGAATCATATTAATGATGTATTCTGGAAGACAGGTCAGAAATTTGTAGCTGGGTACTGTAGAGTTGTTGCACTGTTTATTATTATCATTATTTTCTTTCTCTATGCAGACATAAAGCATAAGAAATGGTTCACAGGGTTCATAAATAATTGATATAGGACATATATAATTTAAAAGTCTGTCTTCCTGGTGGCATGGCAGAAGTGTTATCATGTTGCTGTGCAGGAGTGCCAAGGGCTGAAGCCAAGCTTGCTCTGCCTGTCTTCTTCCCTGGGTGACTGGAGGCAGGAGCACATTTCTTGGGAAAACCAACTGTGCTCCAAGTGATTTGGCTGGCATCCTCCTGCCTGTTGCTTGATGATTAATAGGGGTGAAAGGAGAAAGTAACAGCTTCATCAGAAGCTGAGTATGTTTTCTTGGTGAATAGGATCAAGTTCTGTTGGTAGTCTAAGAACAGGTGTGCGTGGCTTTGCTTCTATGGGTTTGCACAAGTGGTGAAATAAGTATCTTTTAAAAACATAAGCTCTTCTCACTCTTCTCTGTCAAAACTCTGTTTTTAGATTTTTTGGGGTGGTGGTGTCTAGGTTCTTTGGTGTTTTTATTTTATTTTTGGTTGGTTTTTTTTGGTTGGTTGGTTGGTTTTGGGCTTTTTATGTTTTGTTTGTTTGGGGGTTTTTTTGTGTGTTGGGGGTACTGATGTTAACACTTCTAGAATCCATAAAATTGTATAGTTCAAACAAATGAATATATTTTCTTATCTTTGGGAATTGACTTCCATCAGTGGGGCAGCTGATGTTGAAAATGAATTCACCTTATAAACATTTATTCTGACTTTCTAAGACCTATCCCTGTAAAAAGGAGTGCTTCTGAATCTGATGTATAACCTGATGTACCAGGAGATTAATATCTTCTAACAGAGGGTAGACTTGAAAGAGATAAAAGTTAAATCAACTGTTTATGTTGATGAATGTCTACACATTTTAAGAATTTCTGGAAAGCACACCCTTTTCCTTACAATAGGAGTTATTCTATATCTAGGTGATCTTCTGTATTCTTGTGGAAAAGTCAAACGCTGCTTGTAAGTAAAGTAATACAATTTCCTTGTACTGTTCAACCATTTTGCAGTTAAAAAAGGAAAGAAAATAATCCTCTGTTACTGAAATGACTTTTTTTTTTTTTTTATGAGTAGAATAGTTTTGAAAGGACCTCATAACACCTCTGTAGAATCTTTCATAGTTTATTATAATTAAATAATGTGCATAGCTTTAAAAAAACTTCTTTAGATTGTTATTTAGTAATGCCCTGAATGTGCACTTCTGGTCTGTGCTAGTCAAAAGTCCATAAATTAAAATTCAGTATGGTAAACTAGCCTATCTCTGCTCCTGATCTGAGAAGATGGATATTTATGTTTGTGTTTAAATGAAACCATTATAGCTAATCAACATGAGTGAACAGAATGTTTCAGTTGGCCTGAATCTGTATTTATGGTCCCATGGGGCATATGGCCTTTTGGATGTAATTCTGTGGATTGCTGTGTTTGGAGAATGAGATTCTTAATTAGATTCCTTAGGAGGTAATGGCATTCATTAATCTATACTTCAAATTACTTTTCATTGATGGTATAATTCTCCATTTTTAAGAATAATAGGTGTAAGAAATTAAATATTCTAGGTTGAACTGCAGTGTAGCAATCTCCCAAAATTTATTTATGAATTGTCTACTGCTACAGGTGCAGAGCTTTTCTTCCTCTCCTTACAGTTGAGCAAGTAATTTTATAGTGTGTTTAGAAACATCCATTTCTATTAATGCTGTACTAATGCTTTCTTTCAGTGACATTTATCACCCCATTATTAGCTTTTACATGGCCATGCTTATGTACTTAAGCTTTGTGGTTTCTGAATATTTTGAGCTTGTCTGAACAAGATAAATTGTGCAATTTGTATAATAACATGGATTATTATCAGTATCTATGAAGACTACAGAAATATTGATGGTGGAAGCATTTTCCTCAGCTATTAAATAGAGCTCTGTATGGAGCTCATGAATTCTATGAGTGAATGAGTTAATTAGTTGGATGATGAGAACAATAATCCCTGGTGTCAATTGCCAGTCTGACAATGTAAAGAATGAATATTCACATAGTGAATTTTAGAACTAAAACAATATTGAATAGGTAATAAAATTTAGTGAGATATTCATATGTCACCCAACAACCATATTCTTATAGAGCTAAGTGTATTTGCAAATGAATCATGAACAAAACCATTAGATTGCAGTCACTGAATACATTTTTGTTTTGTTTATGTGTGCACATATATAGGTGTATGTATATACATATATATATATACATATATTTGTGAATTATGAAGGTATTGCCTGTAACTGGACTTAGCTAAGTATATAAAATATCTACCCTGGAGAAAGGACCTCTTAGCATTTGTATTTCTGATAAGAATTTATTTTCTGTAGAAAGCTGCTGTTTCCAAGGTTATATTTTTATTACTAAGGCAACTACAATTTTTAAATGGGCAAAGAAACAAGTCCTGTTCCTCTTCATTTGTATATTTTAGCACATCCATCTTGCATATGTAGTAGCAGTTCTATGTCTTTACAAAAAGGGGATGAACAGGAAGAGAAACAGAAGAATAGGGAACCTTTGATATTTGTCAATTGATTACCCTCCCACACCTGACCTTGGAAAGGAACTATTTCTCCTCCGGCAATGCATTATATTTAAGATGGTATTCTTGTTTTTTCTATAGAAGCAAATTTTGAGATATACAGTGCACTGATGTTCCGAAAATTTATGCCTCTTACTAAAGCACGTGAAGTATCCTCTCAGGCAATTTTCTAGTTAAAAGGTGATTTTAACAGAGATTGTGTGGCTCCTGAAGCAACAAAAATATTCTAGATTTGTTCCTGATTTTAGATCTTTTTATCCTCAGGTTCCAAGCAATAAAAAGGAGGACTTGCTCACCTTTTTTTATTTTTTATTTTTTTTATTTTTATTTTTCAGATGAAGGGACTATTTGACTCAATAAGGGGATGTTGGAGATGCAATAGGTTACCACCAACTTCAAGCCAGGAAATAACATTTGTAACAAGAACATGCATGTTTTTCTTTATAACCTGGCATTATTATAGAAACTTCTGTTCCGAAAGTGAGTTTATTCAGAGCAGCTTCTTCTAGTCTGTTGCCTTACACTTCGGTTTTGTCAGCACCCTCAACTTATTATCCTTTATCACTTTTTGGGAAAAGAGTACTTGAGTCAATAGTGGGTTTTTTTTGACTGGGACTGGATTTTCAATCTTTATTTTCATCTGTCCAGATGTGACACAGCTGTTTACACCAACAGAGATAATAAGCTTTCCTGTAAGTAGCAATGAGATAATGCTGAAATAAGTACTATTACCATCCCAGTTTCTCTACCAAGAGATGACCACAAACCATGTGGTTTGTCAGGTCTGCAGTATTTTCAGGTAAAAAAACCCCATATCACATTGCTCCCTTGTTTCAAAAGAAAGAAAAACTTTCTATTTTTCAGCTGCAGCTTGTCCTGATTGGTGTTTAAAGTAATTGTGCAAATGCTGTATGTCAAATGTCTTTCAGACAAAGTAAAAATATCAACTGAAACAAAGATGAAAGTAAGCCTTGTATATTTATGACACTGAACAGCATTTAAAGGGCAACTTTTAAAGGGCAGTGTGTCTATTCAGTGGTCATACCACTGGCAGAGTTCTGCTACCAACTAGATTATAACATAGGAAATAGATGATCTTTCAGTGGAAGCACAGGATGAAGAATCAACTTTTAACTCAGCCAATGGCCAGTTTTTACAGGGCTGGCATTTGTTATATGCATTACAATGCATAGATTATCCATCTTTAAAAAGCGAAAATGCAAATGGGGTCAAGTGAATTTACATAGCATACAGATAAACTTACAAAATCAAATAATATGTTACATTAAGGTGGAAGCCAGTATGAAATAAAACCAAAGCTTTTCAGGACAACTTTTTATCAATATATGGAGACTTAAATTTATAGATAAGGAAGCCACTGAGTATTTCAAAATTATATAGGCAATTGAGACATCTAAATCTGGCTGAAATCTGTATAAATCAGTTTCCTGTGCTGTTGCTTGCTTTTGAAAGTCCTCCTGGGTTCTGTGTACTGGACTTGCTGCTGTGGAAATCCATTTCTTAGCTGTGTTTCAGTTGCCTGTTTCCCAGAACAGAGATGCTGAATGAGGATTCTCCAGGGATATGAGGGTGGGTGTTCTCATGGGCAGAGGAAGTACTAAAAGACTTCCCAAGAAAACATCTGCATCATGAAACACAGCTCAGTGAATCTACTGGCTGTGGTAGAGTTCTAGGGATGTACAAAAAGATAAATTGCAGAGGGGAGGGATGACTATGTAGAGAACAGATAACTGGAAAACTCTTCTGTAATTCCAGACCACACAGTCAGCATATGGGTTTCTAGATCTTGCTTATAATTTATGGTCTAATGTCTACCTTGCTGTGGGATGGGTATCCATAATTTAAAATTCAGTAACGGGCATGTGAGGAATTGCTTAATTCTGAAAAACCTTGCTCTCGTTCTTCTTTCAGAGAAGATTAAAATCCCTACATATTTTATTTTTCATTTTGCTTCTCCATAGAACACTTAATTTAAGAAACTTTCTTCTTTTCTTGCAGTCCTCATTCCATCCCAGATCGCCTGCGGATCCGAGTGAACAGGATTAATTTACAAGAATATGAGGGACTACATTATGATAAGGAAAAACTCCGGGAAGCTTGTAAGTTGGAAGAAACCAGATTGTAGCTGCTTTTGGTAGAATATTCTGAATAAATCTTACATTAGCAAATTAAGAAAACCAAAACACAACCAAAATAACAGCAGCAAAATTCCAAACACAAGATCAAGTATACATTTTTTGATGAGTCACATAGAGTGTATATTCACCTATTTGTGCATATCCACATACATATTCTCTTTATAAATATATACTCTCCCTATAAAAGCACATATAGATCATTCATCCGATTTATTACTTAATTATGCCTTCTGCAAGTTCATATTCTTTACTGTAAAATAAGTGTTTTCCACACTTTTTTTTCTTTATTCATGGCTTTCTGTGGGTTCTTCTGAGTTTCCACTAGTGTATGAAACTATCTGAGATTTTATGATTAACATCAAATTTGAAACTGAGTGGAGGGCACCATGATTAATTTTATATTGAGAATGTGTTCTGACCTGATTGTGGTTCTTGCACAGGTGCATTTAACTTGGGAAAGAAATCTGGTTTTCCCAGGCCTTTGTTCTTCAACAGGCTTCAGTTTTCCACATAAAAAGAATAATCACTGTTTTGTTTCCTCATCTAACAGTTTAATTGCCACATTCAAGGGTAAGTCAAAAGCAAACAGGCGGTTGCTTTGGCAACATTGATGATGACAATCCATATTTAAAAACAGAGTTTCTTTCCTTGGTGACACACAGAGTCATTAATCAATGAGGGACATGGTGGCTTTTGATAACAATTTAATAGTCTTGTTCATGCATCTGGCTCATTATTCATATTAAATTACAGGCATGACTGTTTGTTGTGCAAAAAAGCTTCAGCTCCCTCTGTAATGCAGAGCCCTCCGGTAATTACAGGATGACAATCCTTTTAATTGGTTTGCTTATCTAACTGTTGGAAGATAGTTTAAACTCTTTCACTTTTACTCCTCTGGTCCCACCCCTACTTATTCGCCCAGTTCACCTGCTCTTCTTCCAACAAAATAACTGAAATGCCTTAAATTTTACTATAGCTCCTGACAGCCTTTTCTGAAGTTTCTTTTAGTGGATTTTGGCCATAATTAAAGCAACCAAATCCTTCATCATTGAACTAAGAAGAATTTTAACAGGATGAGGATTATGGTTCGCTGGAGAGGAATTTGCTTTAAGTTTAAATTGACAGTTTGATCTTGAGTAGTGTTCAGATCATACTGAACCCACATCTATCCAATCCTGTCAGAAACAATCTAGTTCATTTGGTAGTTTCCCATCAGAGAACTATCTTCATCCATCCTCACTGTGGATGTAAATTTTGCATATATTTAGTATATATTATGTAGTCATTAAGAGCCATTTACATGTTCTGACACAAAATGCACTTTTTATATTGTCACTGCAGTTGTAAATGAGTATTTATTTGTTGTCTGCAAAAAAACCATGACAACATGATAAAAAATGCCAGAGAATGTTCTAAAATCTGTGAGATTTGTTTTTAGATTACACACACATTTTATCACTTGCTATATGTGTGCTTAAGAGGTTTTCATTCAAAAGGTAGATTTTTAAATGGATAAACACTTTAAAATGTCTATCCATCAAGAGTTAAAATGATTGCTTTCAGGCATTGCCAGACCATTTGCCTCAAGATCTCTTAGTTTCCCTTTCAAGTTGCTGCATGGACAGCTTGGTAACATAACATAGCTGGTCTGCATATTCTCCCCAGACATTTTTAATTAAGCTTTTTTTTTTTCTTATCTGTCCTCCTTTAGCTGCCTCAGTAATGCTTGTGCATTACAGCTTTTACATTAAAATATGATAAAGCAAATAATATCCCCATCAACCTAAAATAAGTCAGAAATATACCTTTCCCTTTGCAAGCAAGTTCTGTGTAAGAACATATAATATACAGCATACACTGGTCATCAGTCTCCTTCTCTGGACATACAGCTTAACTGTCTCCTATCATGATTGTCCAACCTTCAGTTTTCAGGAGGCCTTGATATGAGGACTTCTGTGTGATGCAAATTATGACAGAAGGAAATCATGTACAGGAAGAGAAGTGCTCTCAGAAAGCAAACTGTTTTAAATATTCTAACCAGTTCCTTGAATTCCATGGAGCAAGAAATGGAAAATCCCTGTGGTTCACTGACCACAGACATAATGTCTCAGTTTTCCTGTGACTTACAGGAAAGATGCTTACATTTCTTCTGGAAACTGAAGCATAGCCAGTCATCAAGCTGCATGGTTACACTAGAGGACTGCACAACTGAAGTTTTTATGAGGAAGGAAACTGGAAAATGACATAAATCTTCCTTTTAAGGAGAGCAGATAGCCATCTTAATTGCATTTCTGACATAGCTAATCGGATACTTTTTAAATGGTTTTCTGGTGGCCGGTCTGTGGATTGCTGCCTGCCTGGCTCTATTATAGACTAAATACTTATATGAAATAAGTGTGCTGACTGCCTCCTCATCAGGAAATAATTTCTTAGAGCTTTGACTCTAAAAGTCACTTGGCTAAAGAGGAGGAAGGGAGTACTAAGGGAGGAGAAGCCACTCATCTTCATTTGCTAAAGAAAGTGATTATGGGGGAAGGGGAGTAAAAATAAATGTATTTCCATGATTTTTTTTCAGTGTGAATCAGAAATTTAAATGCAAATAATATTTGTATATTAGCAAAATACAAAAGCCCTTTAAAGCCTGTTACTGTCAGTGGAGTTAGGTTCCTTCACAGCGTGACTGCAGCTCACAGGTGCAAGTGTGTCTCACTAGATCCTTGCAAGAGACTCAATTCACGTATCTGTCCAGGCTTTGGCAGAGTACCTACAATTTAATTCCAGAATACTATACTTACTATCCATTCCCTTCTCACAGGCTTTAAAACCACTTTTACCTCCCAAAATAACCTGAAACCAAACCAGAATCTTGCAGCAATCTGCACAGGAAAAGAAAGCCAGTTATGCTGTTATGTCTGAAGGAAAAATATCAAAAAAGCTACTGTAGTTTTTTGCCTGTTACATATCTCCATAATAGAGTTTCGAAAGACCTGACACCAGTGTCATAATCTGGATCATTTTAACTTGTAGAAAATATGTTTTGCTCCCCTTGTTTTCTTGAAACAATTATTTGATTCCATCAAATATTTGACCTAAAATTGCACTTCCCAACATATAACAACTTGTCATAGAAACTATTCCATGAAGATTAATCTTCACTCTGCTGGAGGTAGGCACCTCATTTTGAAAACCTCCTGAACAGTTAAAGAAAGTAATTTTGTCCCCTGAAGGGCATGACCATTCTTAGCTCATTCTCCTTCTATTGCTTTCCACTTTTCTTGTCACTGCAGCTGGCATTTAACCAAGACGCTGTTTCTGAATTGTCCCTTTCTTCCTACCCCATTCTCCTTCTTTTCTCCTTCATTTTTTCTTCTGTCAACATCTCAGTATTGTCTGTTAGATGATTGATGACGGTACAGAGGGTGCTTATTGATCCTTCACCAAGGAGCAGTGAATGCTTCCATGCACTCTTTTAAGAAAGGGATATAAGTTGGCATTTCAGTTATGTTGTAATGTTCTTTGCTGTAAATGTAGTTGTCTTCTCTAACAGCTCCTTATACATACCCCAAACAGTTGTCACCCTAGTCACCAGCTTCACCTCCTTTTTCCCAATATCATAGTTACACACTACATGATCATGATCAAGGCTATAATTTTCAAAAAGTAAATTGGATTAATGTTTCTAGATGGACAAAACTTAATTCTGTCTCTCTTGCCTGCATATCTGTGCATTATCTCTGATTTTCTGTTATTGAAAAAAGTGTGATCTGAAGAAGCATTGTGGAGGAACAATTGAGTTCTTTTTGAAATAGCAAAATATTTTGATTTATGATGTCCTATTTTTACCATTTCAATGTTACTAAGAAATTTCTGACAATGGATGTATATACAGAAATTAATTGTATTTTTTAAAAAATAAACATAAATCAACAAACTAACCAACCGTAAAATAGTTAGTGACCAATAATGACCTTATAGCCTTCTACGAGGAAGTAACTAGGAGGATAAATGATGGTAGAGCCGTAGATGTGGTTTATCTTGATTTCAGTAAAGCATTTGACACAGTTTCCCACAGCATCCTCGTAGATAAGCTAAGGAAGTGTGGTCTTGTTAATCAGGTGGATCAGACAGGTTGTTAACTGGTTGAAAGGAAGAATTTGGAGAGTTGTGGTCAATGGGTCAGAGTCTAGTTGGAGGTCTGTGACTCCAGGGTCAGTACTGGGACCAGTGATGTTAAGTATTTTCATCAACGACCTGGATGAGGGAACAGAGTATAAACTCAGCAAGTTTGGTGATGACACTAAACTATACAGATGCAAACCAAAGATAAATATTTGAATCTGAAAAATAAGCTACAAAACCAAAGAGGAATTTGCTAAAGGCACTGCTTGTGTCAAAGGAAATACTTCTCCCCTTTTCTTCCCCCCCTTTTAATGGAAGAAACCTTGTGGGCTTTGTTCAGGCAGTACAGTTAATTACACTTCTTGCTTTGAGGTACGTACACATGCATGCATTCAAAGATTAGAAGGCTGCAAGGGTACAACAGAGGAAAAAGTAGGATATGAACAAATAATTAAAGGGAGTAGCACAATGAATATATACACAGGTGCTGAAAAAGACAACTTCAGCCATGGCATTTTCTAACTTTGAGCTCTTGATCTTGTAGTCATAGTAGCATTTATTTAACACCATGTGCCACTGCCTGGGTTGCGAAGAATGAATAAATCCCAAACATGGAAATCTTATATAATTGAGTTATAGAATAATGGAAAGGTTTGGGTTCAAAAGGACACTTAAAGATCACGTAGTTTCAACTCCCCTGCTGTAGGCAGGGACATCTTACACTAGATGAGGTTGCTTAAAGCCCCTGACTCTAGACACCTGCAAGGAGGAGGCACCCACAGCTTCTTTGGGCAACCTGTTCCATTGTGTCACCACCCACATTATAAAGAATTTATTCCTAATATATAATTTAAATCTACCTTGTCTTGGTTCCACATGAGGCATATTTACATTGAACACATTCCTCTGCCTTTTGAGCTAGTGAGGAAGCTGGAACCTGTAAATTTGCCATCTCCTTTGAACTAGAAGAGATGGATACTGTTCCAAAAAGATGTAAATATGTATTTACCCTAGAGGAAGTGGGGTGACAGAAGAATATTAAGTTATTTTTCAGACTTTCCAGGAAATCATGCTATAGTTTCTTTCCGGTATAGACTTTTCTGTGAGATTTTTGTGTGCATTTTCTACTTCTGTTTCTGTACTTTTCAATTTTTTTATTTTTTAAATTATCTGATTTCTTCATACCTTTTCAGACCTGGATGTCCCCTTTGGCTGTCTATTCCCACATGCATTCTTCCTGCTTGTCTTAGTCTGTTTCTGCAGACCTCTTGTCTCAGGTTCCTGCTCCTTTTCTTAATCCTAAACTCTTAGTCTTGATATTTATTCCCCGCCAATTTCAATTCCTAGCTCTTCACAGCTCTTCATAGTTTTCTTTCTACAACCTGTTTCCTTTTGCATGGTGTTTGGGACAACTTGTCTCTTTATAGGACTTGGGCAGCTTCCTTCTTTTTGTAGTAGGGCATAGGAGAATTCACTGAGAGCCTGAAGGGGATGACCACATCCTCAAATGTGTCCTGGTCTAGTGTGATAACCTGCGTTGTGTTTTACCTCCTGACAAGGGATTACAGTAACATTGGATCACTAGTGCCAAGAAAACTAGCAACAACTGAACCTGCGAAGCTTTAGTTTTTGTCGGTACAATAAACAAAAGGGAACTGAAGAGACACATGGTTTAGATTGGTGTTGTAAGAAAATAATTTTGTACAAACTCCTTTGTATAAAAACCATCCTGGGAAAGCCAAACCCCTTAATACAATTGACTGAATATTTTAGAATTCTCTCCCAAGAATTTACTTGGTCCTTCACAATTGTAATATGAGTGGAAAACCCTCAGGAAAATGACATTCTTGTCTTCAGTAGTGAGGATCCTTTATTTGATACATTAAACATTTACAACCCGATGTTTAATCTCCCCAGTCCCCTACGGTGTGTCAGACAAGATATGAGTTTTCCTGGCATTCACATCAACCTTTATGATCTGTCTTGAGGCTGTTTTGTTTGGGATTTGAGTGGGTTAATCATGGTGTTTGGATCACAAATTGAATCCTTGCCTGATAATAAATGGGGAAGTTAATTGAATTTTATTTCTTCTTCATGGTGTCATGTGCAATATATTCAGGCTTCTTCCATTTGTGTTCTCAGTATTATTGAATTATTCACTAGCTTTAGGTATTCAGCATAATGGGCAGTTAATAGGCAGAAGATTTCTTCTTTGTTTTTAAATTCCATAGCTATTTTCATGAGGACTTAGGAAACCACTACTAATCTTGCAGTCAATGAGAGTGTCATGCTAGCTGGACTGCTGCACCTACCTCACCTTCTTTCTGATATTTGATCGCAGTTAGTCTTGCTGGTAACAAAAGGTTTTCCATAGCATCAGTTCAGAATACGAGGGAACTGTCTGCCTGTCTCATCTCCAGAGGTTCTTGCAGGCATCACTGCAGCATTAGAGCCTGTATCCACAGCTCCCTGGACAAAGTCCTTTTTGCTGTTCAGGGAGCACAAAGAAACTGGAGGCTGGATGCAAAGGGCCAGAAGAGCAGACGCCTCAGGAGAAAAATATCTGGCACTTGAATTCTGTGGTTTGGCTCATGATTTGAGACAATATTTAAGGTATATTCCCATGTCTGGTTATATCCATATTTTCACAGGAGTAGACGGTGTATGGGAAAGTTGTTCTTTGGTTCCTGTGCTCTTAATGGAAGTCTTTGTTAGCTTTATTCCTTTAAGTGGTAACTTATCTCATTTTGCCCCTACTGCACAGCATTGCCCTATATTCTGAATCAGCAAAAATCCCAGTTTCAATCCCATTATTAATCATTAAGGATTTTCTATTTGCAATTGTTAAGGAATTTGAAAATGGTGCATTGTACATATTTACTGTGGTTTATGACAAAACTGAGGGCTGGGAATATTTTTCTTGCTGAAACCCAAATGAATCTTGCAAAAAAGCCAAGCAAGCAAACTCATAAAAAAAACCTTTGACACACAACATTTTAGCATGTATTATAGTGTTGTCCAGCAATGACTTAAAAGTTTTTTCAAATGAGCATGAACCATGTGGAATATAACCATTTGAGACTCACCTCACGCACCTTGTCCCTTAGCTAGCCATTGACCCTAAAGCCACAGATTGTTCTAATTCAGAATTTCCAGGCAGCAAAAGTTGTACATTTCTTTTTTAAGAACAAAGGTACTCAGGCCAGAATTCCAGTTATTCTATGACCATCACAAATAGATGGGACGTAATTGAATTAAACCTGTGCATCGTTATTTTTTTCACTTGTGTAGATGAGACCCATAGATGTCACCAATAAACTATCTGTTGCATATTAATGTTTTCAGACATTTTGGTGGATCACTTTTAGAATTCCAAAAGTTAATAATATCCTTCTCTTTTAGGCTGTCAGGGATGGTGATTGTGATGGATTTCAGTTCTGAGTTGGATGCTTTCCTTCAGCATGTCAAAGCTCTGGTCCCTATTAAATGCTTATAGAGACAAAATTGGTGGTGACAGTTTATGCGCCAGTGGTGTAGCTCCTTAGTGCTCTATACCTATTGGAGGTGTAGTCATGTCTGTTGCAATTTGCTTTTTAGTGTTATAAATGAATTTAACAAATGCTTCTTTCAATAAGGGCTCAGTAGAGGGATCTACTGAATTGAAACTAGATAGCCATTAAGTACTCTCTACAAAGAGCTTAAGGGTCTCCTGTCAGAACAGGTTAAGCGAAAATAAACACTAAGCAAAGTGAATCACTGTGTAACCCAGAGGACTGGAATGTGTAAAGCAAACCTCATGATCGACCCTCATTCTACTTGCTTGTCTCTCAGTTTCTGTTCTGTAATGAAAAATTCTGGGAGGTCACAATGCGCACTGTTCCCTTCTGGCCTTTTTGAAAATGAGCAGGAGGACTGGCATCACTATCGGGTGCCAAAGTTGCTTCAGGAGAAGTGTGAGCTCTTCCCTTCTTCCCTGATCTTCCTGCCTGTCCCTACTTTATTTTGTTTTCTCCTGACAGCTTTTTTTCCCTGCTTCTGGTCTTCCTGGGTCCATAGCTGTTCTGGTATTTAAACTGCTTTTGAAACTTGATGCTGGCAGCATTGTTACTGGCCTCTGAGGTCTGTAATGACGTTGACTGCTGTAGGTGCTCCCCTAATCTTCTCCTTGAGACTACTGAGCTGTTCTTTGTGCTCCTAGCCCCAGTGGGCTACAAAATATGACCCATGTTTCCCATTATCTTTTGCAGCTATCTTGTCCTCTTATCAGAATGAAGAGCATCTCAGTAGATAAATATCTCTCTCTCTTAATCAGTTTCTTTTGAACTGCAGGGGAGGGGCTGTAGCACAGTTGTGGATTTTTTTTTCTATTTATCTCAGAATCGTCAGTGACTTTATGATACTTCCTGTTATCCAGTTACTAAAATGGTTTACAAGTTGATATTCTGCTCTCCTTTTGGAATACTTCAGATGAGGATTTAAATCTTTCCTGCTGCTCCCCTATTTTTATTTATTTTTGGGCCATTGTTTGATTAAAGGCCCTCTAGGGAGAAAAAAACTGCATTAGGTGATGCAGTTTTAGAAAATCCAGGTACCCAAGAGTTTTCACTTGTTTTATTTAATGAGATCTTAGTAGGTAGCTCTCTTGGTATCTTCCTTCTAGACTCACATATATCTCTTTCTTTCTGTGTGTTTGTTTTGGGTTGCTTGTTTGTTGTTTTTTTTTTGCTGCAAGAACAGAAAACTTAAATCCCTTGTTAATAAAAATACTTCCCTCAGCTGAGGAGAATTATTTGCTGTATGTTTACAAGTTCACTTTATGGAGATGTGTAAATTCTGTGTGTAGATGGAGTGTTTTGATGTCTGTTTTGATTTGAAAGCAGTCTTAAAATTAGACGGCGCTGAACAGTTTTCTCTGAAATAAGACTGTAACTTCAGGCTGTGACTTTCATGACTTTAAATCATTTTCATCAACTTCTAAGAGTTCTGAAAGTAAAATATCACTCTCTTAGTTCAATGTATAAGAGCACCTTCATAAACTCTTGTGGTATGCTGCTTTCTTTGTGGTTAATAATTGATGTTGAAATCAGACGATTAAGTTCACAATTTGTCTGAATATGGTTTACCTTTTTTGGTATGAAAGACAGTGGAAAACCAGAATCCTTTATAATTATAAATGAGTGAAATTAATGATAAATAATATGTTATTGCTTTTAAATGAATGTTAAGATTTAGATAGCAGAAAGCTTTTGTGAGGACACAATAAAGAAAAAACATCTTGAGTGTATTGTAATTCTTTTAAAGGTTAAGAGATTTCAATTAACGATGTTTTTCTCTCTTTGATTTTCTAGCCATTCCCCTAGGAATTATAGTTGTACGAGGAGATTGTGACTTGGAAACCTGTCGTATGTACATTGACCGTCTACAGGAGGTGAGGCTTTTGTCAATTCAGGTGTCATATACTCATCTATGTTATGCTTCATTCAGTTCTGAGTGCAGAGGTCTAATAGTTATAACAATAATATATTAAGAGTATTGCACTTTGCCTACCACCAAAACCGAAACTTTAGAGTTAAGCTAAGGTAATAAAGGAGGAATAGCACTGAAAAATGTTCTCTAAACAGGAAGTGAAAAGTTCTACCAACTTATTTTAAATTATAACAGAATTGACATGGATGGATGTGTTTACTTCTTCTTGAATTGGAGTGGAATACCAGGGCTCTCCACATACCTTGCTAAAATTACACAAATTAGTAGTTAGAAAGTGTGTTGTATATGGATAAACATAATGATATTCAAGTGGGTCAAATTATGCACATTTCATTCTCTAATACTCTCATTGAGTAATTTGAGACTCCAATAAACACTATAAATATCAACTAGATATTTCCAAATACACAAAAATGTTGTGTTCATGCAACTAGTAATATTACTACTCTTATTGTCCTGAACACCTTGCTTCACAAGTGTTTGTTCTACAATAAAGTCCAGGAAGTAGAGACTCCAAATGACACATGAAATGAATAATTTTAAGTGTTTATGCATTTAGTGACAAAATTAATAGATTTTCATTAATATACAGTCTCTGTTTTTAATCTTTTACTGGTATTTTTCAACAACATTTACCAGTGTGAATACATTACGTAGGTTTCTAAACAGATGGTCCAATTTACATAGGAACTACCAACATTATCCCTCCACTGAACTCTTTGGGAGCCACAGACTTCCCTGTAGTCTTGAAACTGCACTTGCAGCCTGAATATACGCCTTAGAATCTCACTATAGCCTTTCACTTTTTTGCATTTCTGCCAGTATTCCCTTTAAAATGCATTTCATGGAATTATAAATTGTCGTGGTTGGAAAGGTCCTCTAAGATCACCGAGTTCAGCTGCCAGCACAAAAAAACCCCACAACCTTGACTACTAGAGCATGTCCTGAAAATTGAGAAATCTATTTCTGAACATTCAGACTTGAGGAGTGGCTATTATTATCAACCTTATTGTAAGCTGATGCATACTTGAGATATCTGGTGATGGAAAATTGTAATGAAATAATTATGATGATGTTCCCTGTAGGTTGCTAATGTGATCCCAGACTAAACTCAGGCAACTTAATACGGCCAGCATTGGTGGGCAAGTGGTTGTAAAGCCCTGGAGGAAGCACAGCTAGAAGTTCTGGTTGAAGTACCCATAGTGGTTGTAGAAGAAGTGTGCTTCTCTAATCTTTCACAGGGCTTGTGCAAAGCTTTTCTCAGTGTGCTTGATTTGGTTCATACCCATTTGCTGGGAAGGGAAGCGCCAAAGCTTTCTGCACTCTGCCAACTTGCCTGCCAACTGGGGACCTCTGGTGTGTAGGCCAGGCTTTTTGGAAAGCTGTGTCATGAGCTTAAACTATTTGACAAAATCTCTTATTAAAATAGATGCCTGAACTCTGCTAAATACCAGCATCATTCTGATATGACCTCCTTGACATGAGTTGTCTTAAAACAGGGAGAACTGCCAGTACTTTTCTTTAGTTCATTATTTATATTTTATGGCTGATGTCCAAAATTTACATAGTTTTCATGGAACAAATAGAACTGTGGTATGACAAAGGTCCATTATTGTGATTTCTGTATTTTAAAAACTATTTTTTGAACAAATGCATGTAAATCTAAATAAATGAGCTTTCCATGGCTAGTCTGTGGTGTTTGTTTAATACATTTAAAATCAGTGAGAAATACTTGCAAAATTATTTGTGTTTGCTCAGCTACTTCAGATAGTAGAACTGCAAACTGCTCTTGTTGCTTTAATTTTTTTGTCATCATGTCTTTTATTCTCTTCCTAGGACCTGCAGTCTGTACCTTCTACTACACAGAGAGTTCATTACCAGGTAAGATAAGCTTTCCTTTTAGTATCAGAACAAAAAAAGGGCTTAACAATGTGGAGAGCACTCTTTACTTTTGAAGCTGGGTTTTCTTTTTGTTAGATGAATTTCTGATTATAATTTACCTTAAAATGTTGGATCTTCATTCTGCCTTCCCTAGGACAATCCTTTTCCTAAAAAAATCTTATGGAATCATCTTTAATATCAGTGAGGTATGATGATGCAAATGATATTGCAATAGCAGTGCCTTGAATACAGAAGTAAAAGAATGTGTTGTGTAGGAAAAAATGATAACAATAAAATTGATTCTCTGCCTGAGAAACTGATCAGTAACATGATGTTATATTGCATAGCTGTAGTACTAAAGTCTATCACTGAGAAAAAATGTCTGCTTACAGGCTTAAACTCTTATTAATTCTGAGCACCACAGTCATCTACCTCTAGTTTAGCATAATCTTTGGAATAGTTTTTTTATCGATGCAGGGACCAAATGTGACTTTTGTATGTGAAAAATGGGTTCCAGTTTTAGATGGCTAATTTTAAAAATTGATCTTTCTGTGCATTTTACAACTTTATTGTACAAATTATTCAATACAGAACTTGTTTTTACAGTTGGAAGGGTTGTGCGAGAATGCATATTTCTGTCACTAAAATATTACACTGCACAGTACTCAGACTGGGAGGAAAATACCTCAGACTAGCTCTTCTGACTCCTGAGCTGATCTGACATTAGCACAGAGGCTTGACACAGATGATGGTCTATTGACACAGCATCTAGGATCACAAGACAAGTTTACACAGCATTGATAGCCTTTTCCTAGATTTAATGGTGCAAGTCTTGTTGAGACCAACAACATTTAAGTTAACTGAGAAAGCCTACAGGGATCCAGCTCACAGGAACACATCACAATGAAATTATAGATAGTTTCTTGGGCCAGCTGAATGATACATGATTCCAGTTTGGTAAGAAAGCCTGTAAATGCACTGAATGCAAGAAGACTCTATGAGCAAACACAATTTGGCATGTTTTCCTGGACTTTCCACCTTCATACCAGGTACATTTCCCTGTCCAATATCAACCTCATATTTTTGACATTTGTATCACTCATGGCCCCAGAACTGATTTTTAGAGTAGATTCAGTACCTAACAAATTGCCTAAAAAGCCAGCACGTATTATTCTGTTCCACTCTTTATAAATTAACCTAAGTGGCTACTGACTGCTCCATGGGTAGGAAACTGCTTGGGGTAAAATGAAGAACTAAATCTCCATGTGTGGGGAGGGCCAAAAGAGAGTATAAAACGTCAGAAATAAGCCCCATATTTGGCTCTAATCTGTGCAATTTTAGAAGTATATAAATTAATTGCCTAGCTATCTCAAGTGCATATCTATGTGAAATCCCTAACATGATATCCATTTTTTAAGCTACATTTTGTGGTTTTTTTCAGTACTTGCTTATCTGTGATTTTTCAAACACTGTGGTCTATTTATTCCCTGTGGGTCATTTCTACAAAATGCCTGTTAGGTTAATCTGAGGTTTGTTCCATGTTTGTTGGTATCCCTCTATGTATACCAAGAAGTGGAAAAAGCAGGGGAAAAAGGGAATTAGTAAGGTACTTGACTTGATTGAACTGTTTTTTTATCTCACTAATAAGGTGTCATGGATACTTTTAAGGTCTTAAAAATGCAGTTCTCTTGCATGATTTCTGTGCAGCTCAAAACATGGGGAATCAGCAGAAACAATATCAGCAAGGCCAGGTACAAATACGAAAAATGAGCTAGATTTGTTTTTCATTCTGTTTTGTTTCTCTAATGAGATTAATGCTTATAAAATACCAGTCTCCTGTGCCTGAGACTTCCCAAGCTAGTTCTGCAGTTGAACTGTAATGAAGTCTTGGAAAAAGCATATCATATTATGCAAATTGTGACTTGAATTTATATTTAACAGCACTACCCCTAACCTCATTTTCCCAGCATTATGAACTCTGCTAGGTCTATGAATTTTTACTTGTCTTCTGTTTGTATAACCTACCTTTTTAGTATGCACTGTTATCTTTGGATGTTTTCTTCTTTTTTTTTCCTTTGTAACCCTTTCCTCACCTTTCCTCAAATAATGGGCTAACTATTAAGATACATAAAGTGTTGTGCATGTAGATACATAGACATTAGCAAACCAGGTGGATTTCAGAAAGCCCTTGACTCTTTGTTGTTGTGGGAAAGAAAGAGCTGAGATTCCACTTCTCCTGACTTTAATAGAATATGGTGGGAAGTGGGGCTCCCTGTTCTGACCCTCCTGGGTCTTTCAGGGATTTAAGAAACCTCTCTATAGTTCCTCTTATAGGTGTCCAACACCATGCCAGGGTCACCTAAACCATAACACTCTTCCACATACAGCTCAGTTGAGATACAAGCAAACTTAAGCATCCCACAATTCCATAAGCTCATATTAGAGAAGGACATAAGTATGTTTTCAATTGGATGCTTGAACCACTGAGATATGTCATTTGGTCCCCATGTGCAAAATAGATCACCTTATGGGATGTTATGCTTTGCCTTCATCTCTCCTGTAACGCACAGAAGTTGGAGACAAAAACCTGAACATGAGAGCAGGGTTTATGGGTTCAAGTCTGTGAGTCTGAACATGGGAGAGAATTTGGGCTTTTTATTTGTTGTCAGGGTGGCTTTACATGCAGGTATTTTATATATAGATGCAGGTATTTTATACATATATATATATATATACACACACACATATATTTTGTCAAGCAACATTTCTAAGTTGCTGCAGTGACCTGTCAGCAGAGAGCTGTTTCCATGACTATAGCCAAACTGTAGAGCACTGAAGAGACTACAGATGAGTTGTCTGGAGCCGTCTTGGCATTTCTGTCCTGGATATCCAGAAAGGAAAGGCATAATAGATGGTAACAGTCAATCCCAGAGGCAGAAGCTAATCAAATGAATCTTGCAAAAGTTGTCATGAGACCAGATGAAATAAAGAACATTTTGTAGCAGCATCATGCCAGGCACTGATATGCTAATCATTATTACAGCTGCTTGAAAACAACAGTGCAAGCAGGCACCCTGCTGACTGGGAAGCCAGGGAAGCCAAGAACTTGTGCTAATCTCTACATCGTCAGTGTGACCTCATTTTTTCTCAGGTGGCTGAAGAGGTGTCATATACCTTTATGTAAATAAAAGAATGAAGTCTGACTCTTAACATATGTGAGCATTGTCTGCTCTGTAATCAAATTGGAAATTGTTTTCTTAGACTGAAATGAGAACTTTCTTCAGCCTTCTCTGAAATTTTCCCAAGGTTGAAGAAAGCAAAGTGCTCTTTCCCCACGGTCTTTCTGGCAAATCGCTGGGCAGTCTGGTGAATTGAACTGATGACACCCCCATTTTTCTGTCACTATATTCTTTATTTTTTTCTGAACTTTTTCTCACATAGCTACTCAGATAGGGATTATTTTAGAAATACATCAGATTTACAAAACAGTAAGACAAATTGCTGAGAAATATCTATTACTTCTAGGTTTTCTTAATGATACAAACACTAGGCAGTAAAAGCAGAGGAAAACATATAGGAAACTGTGAACATTTAAAAATATCTATGAATATTCCAGATATGTTGGAAGTGCTTGATACACCATCATCTTTCATTTTAACTTTATGTTCGTGTTTCTGTGCTTTCCCTCTGCTTGTATACAAAACAGCCTTGCTTTCCTCTTTCAAATGGTGCACATGGTGCCAGATACCTGAGGGAATGGTGGGTTTTGTGTGCCTTGGAATCTCCCACTTATGCTGCCTATCTTTCCAAAAGGCTTTCCTGTAGCACAGACTGGAGTGGTGGATTTCTGCATTATGGTACGGGTGAAGTGTTCATAGCCTTATTGTCCTTCTGGCTGAAAACCGTGATTGTCCTTTTGGAACTCACTCTTTCAGCCAGCCTTTACTTTCTGGTGTTAGACCTTCAAACAACTACTTAGCTGATGGAGCTATACAGTTCCCAACATAAAGTTTGTTGGTCCTGAATCCTGCTGTCAGAAAAGGTGCTGGGCTCCTGTGTGATATTCTGAGAAGTTCCACTTGAGATATCATCGTGTCCTGGTCTGTTTTCACCAACCAATGCCTGTGTTATAACATGTACATATACATGAATCACATTCTGTGAATTCCTTGCACAGCAATACTTTTCTTGGAGTATTTTGTATCTTTGCTCCCCATTGCTTCTGTTTTGTTGGGGTTTTTTTGTGTTTTATTTTCTGGTGTTAGACCTTCAAACAACTACTTAGCTGATGGAGCTATACAGTTCCCAACATAAAGTTTGTTGGTCCTGAATCCTGCTGTCAGAAAAGGTGCTGGGCTCCTGTGTGATATTCTGAGAAGTTCCACTTGAGATATCATCGTGTCCTGGTCTGTTTTCACCAACCAATGCCTGTGTTATAACATGTACATATACATGAATCACATTCTGTGAATTCCTTGCACAGCAATACTTTTCTTGGAGTATTTTGTATCTTTGCTCCCCATTGCTTCTGTTTTGTTGGGGTTTTTTTGTGTTTTTGTTTTGTTTTTGTATTTGTTTTGTTTTGTTTTGTTTTTTCTTGCAACTCAGTGTACCACTCTGTCTTCTGAAGGAGTAAATTTTTATATTGAGCCATTTTGTCCCTGGATTTTTGTAATTTGCAGATGTGCTGACTTTACTGCTTATGACGTAAAGAAGCATAAAATCTTGCTCTGTACAAATTTTGGATATGTGCCCAAGGTCCATGCTGTTTTGCTTTGCCTTGTGCAAATCCAGTTGTGTTTAAACACAATATTCCAGTGGCTTTAGGAAGTTGGCTGGCCAGCCACTGGCAACATGGAGCAGAGCCATGATCACCCTCTGCTTTCTGAGATCCCTTTCACCTGTCCATCTTAATGAGCTGAGAAAAAGCAAAGGGCAGTCTGTTTGACTCAGTGAGTAGAAGTCAGGAAGAAGGTCTTTGTTCCTCCCCAGTTATTTGGTTTGGTTCCTGAAATACTGTCCATTGGCTACCAAGGAACCCTTGCCAGAGCAGGAAGATGTTGATGTAGAATGTGTCCTTGGCTGGCGGTGATCCCCAGGTCTGTGCTCTCTGCATTCTGGGCATAGAGCATAACATTTTATTACCCTGATGTGCATTTGGGACAAGCCAGGAACAGGCAACATGAGCAATTGCTGTGATTGGCAGATCAGTACGGGTA